GGCAGGGGGGTTGGACTAGATGACCTTTAAAGGTCCCTTCCAACCCAAACTATCCTATGATTCTATGATTCTATGATTTTCCCGGCTCCTCTCAGAGCCAAGAAGCCCCACGAGCAATGCCAGGGAGTGAAGCAGGACCACAGGGAGGGCGAGGGCCCCGGGGGGTGGCGGCTCGTCTCACTGCTATCAGCACGGGCAGAGCCCAGGGAGGCTTTGGGTTGGAGGATGAGTCTGCTACTCATGCTGGAACATACGCTTATTCACTTCAAAAGAGTTAAGTGATATGCAGGCTTTACTATTTAAAGAAGAATCTCAGCAGCCTTTTTGTTGGCTTGTAACCTTACCTCCCTGTGAAACTCTATCACCGCATCCCTTTCCCCTTCCAGCTCTGTTTCTCCTCTTATTTTTTCCCATGTGTTTTCATGGGAAAAAGTAGAAAAGAAAATGAAAGAATGAAAGAAAAAGAGATGGGATACATGAAATCTGGGAGATTGGGGGGGGAAGGGGGTTTTCTTGTTGCTCATTTGCAAACTCTCAGCTGAGCAGGGAAAAAAATCTCCACTGAAATCTGGGAAGATTTCACATATCAAGTTACAAGTGCTGACAAGACAGCCCTACACACTTCATTTACACATTGATGAAGAAAAAGTTAAACCTACAAATCAGCTGCAAAAATAAAATTGTTCAAAATATTAATTCAGAAAAACTGAATAAACCAGGAGATGGTATACATATGTCCCGGTAGTTTCAGAAAAATAATGGTTTGGGATTTTCTTTTTACCAGGAATGATATGGATAGAAAACCAGCGAATTATCAGTTTCTTGATTTTTTTTTTGTTTTTGCCCCCTTTATCTTTTTGCTGGCAGTGGCAGCGGCAGCGCAGAGGGAAGGAGAATTTAATGCAAAGTGAATGACTGACAAAAAGGGCTTTTTCTTTCACTTGCCCTCTCCCTCTTTGTCGCAGTGTCTAGACAATCGGAGTATAAAGACTGCTTGATTGTAGCCTCTTGTAAAATGTGACAGAGGGTGTTACATGCACGCATCTTTTCAAGCCAAGTCCCTGAAAGTTGTCTGTTCCTGGCTCAAAGAAACCAGCATCACGGGGAGCTGGCTAAATGTGAGAGAATACATGTATGCATGTACAAGCTAACTCAGGGATTTCATAGACAATAAATATAACCTCCATTCAGCACCGGCCTTTGTGTCAATGAATGGATTCCAAAAACTAATCTCCTTCAGTATCACAGAGCAGGCTTTTAATATCCAAAAGTCTCATCTCCCTGCATGTCAGCATTTGGAGCTGTGGAAGGCTGGAATTATTCAGCCAGCTCTGAGATCACCAAACAAAATCTGGAGCTGTTTTACACCAAGTTCTCTAGAGACGAGCACACAACATTGTTCATCCAACATGCTGCACAACTTACAGTAAAGGAACAAGATTTTATTCCATTTCCATTAGGAAAGGCAGCATTTCTCAGATGTATGAGTTATGGGTCATGCAGCATTATCATAATTTGACACTGGTATTGTTAAAAGGTATGTAACTAGCCTAATTAAAATGAACTTTTCTAATGCAAGCAAGTTGAATTTGTTTATTTTAAAGTTGTGTTTTTATGGGCAATATAAAACATGTGTTTTCATGAAAACATAAAACATTTACATGGTTTTTGAGACATCCCTAGAGACAAATGAAAATAACCATTATGTTATTTGTCTCCTTTCTTGTCCTTGTTATATTTCTTGGACTCCAACATTTACATTGCAAGCAATCCAACATCAGCCTAACCAGAATAGTAGTTTCCTCCCACATGGTGGAAACATTATTTGACAAAGATATAAAATTAATTATATAATCGTTAATTTTTTATACAATCATAGCATCTTAATTACTTTCAGTTAGGAAACAGATGAAGGCTAAGGAGATGTTATTAACACTGTTACTATTATCGTAAATCACCCTCCTTCAGTTTTTCTAGCGGGTTGTTGGTTCTCGATACAAAATGGAAGCCAAGACTGAAATACCCACCAAAGCCAAACAACCGCTCCATTAACAGAAACAAAAGCAGTTCTCTGTTAGCTAATCGAAGCCTAGGAAAAGTCCAGGAGTACCAGGAAAAGTCCATTTTTCATACTTCTATTTTAAAAGGAAAAGCTTCAATATGTGATATCGGAAAAGCAAAAAGTATTGATAAGCCTTTGCTTAGTCTAGCTTCTGCAGTTGTAAACCACCAGGAAAAGATGGATGGGAGGAAGTCTGGTGTAAATTCACTCCTTCAGAGCATCAGAAGTTTTTCTGTAA